ATAGATAGATAGATAGATAGATAGATAGATAGATAGATAGATAGATAGATAGATAGATAGATAGATACATAGATAGATACATAGATAGACACACAGATAGACACATAGATAGATAGATCATTTGGACACAGAAAGTCAAATAGACAGGCAGATGGATAGAAGAGGATAAAAGGAAGAGTAGAAAGGAGAAGAGATTAGGAAAGGAGGGGAGAATAGGAGGACAGGAGGAGTAGAGGATTGGAGGAGGAGAAGAGGAGGGAAGAGAGACGGAGAACAGGAGAAGTAGAAGCATAAATGCAACAAAAACTTGTAGTATCCTTCAGAAAAGAGCTGAGTGACTTTCCACCAATCAGAACACAGGACCAATTATGTGTGTCTCCCTTTGATCTTTGCTAATCAGCATCACCTGTGCAATCAGCTTTCCTATTTAGACAGAGGCCAAAATTGCTGATACTTGGCCTCGAACAAACCTCAATAGAGACAAAACTATAGGTTGTATTGGCGAAATGACCTGACCGTGAGCGAGACAAGGCCTTTGTGAATGATGTGATGTATTTTTTTGTGGATAGAGTTAAAAAAAGGGACCACTTTGGCAAGTTAAAAAACTGGTTCGTAATGCTCTGATCACAAAAGTTTGACCTGAATTTATAATTGCTGCCAATGGAGGACTGTCTGTCACTCTTGTCCTTTGGAAGGACACAGAGAAAAAACTAAAAGTCCCAGGGATTTACTAAACACACGAGAGGAACCACCACAAAAATACCTACGTTTCAAGTATAATTTTATGCCCAAAGAGTGAAAATTGTGGCCAGGCCAGCGATTTAAAAATTATTTTTTAGCATTAGTTTTCAAGCTGGCTCACTCTAGCTTATGACATCACGTGCTCTAGCTCTGAACAGTCTCTCTCATTCACTCCCATTATAATTTCAGAAACGGCTTGAAAAACATCATGAGACTAAAGTAGAGATTGTGAAAAAAGTATAATAGATATCAAAAAGTTGAATACAACTTTAATAGCTGACAAATTTCTCAACATTTTAAAGTTTAAATGATAGAAATAGCTGAAAGTATGCAGAAGTAGTAGGCAATGAAAGCAGAAGGAGCATGAAGCAGAATTTGAAGAATTCTCCATTGACTTCCATGTTAAAAAAAATGCACAAAAAGCTTAATAATTTAAAAAGTATAAAGGTTATAAACAAGAAAAGTAATAGCACACATGTCCTTGAAAAGCTGCACATTTTGATACTTGAATGGTTTTTGTAGCACAAAGTAGAGAGGAGAAGAAAGCGACCGAAAAACGTACGGAAGAATACGGAATAATAAGAAAGATTTGGATTTCAAGAGTGTGAATGCTTGAAGCATTCACACTAACTAGAAAAATTGCATTTCCTGCGGAATATGCGTGTGAATGCTTCAAAAGCTTAACTTAAATGCTTAAAAAAAAAAAATATTGCAGTTCAAACAACAGCAAAACAGAGCAAAAAAGAAAAAAAAGCTTAATTCAAATGCATTTAATAAGCTGAAATGCAAAACAAGATCCAAAAAATTGTAGAAAACTACAAGTTTACTTAGAGAGGTAAAGAGAGGTAGAGATGTAGACACAGAGGTAAAGAAATATAGGGGTAGAGAAAGAGACAGAGGTAGAGAAGTAAAGGAGTACAAAAAAGAAAGGTAGAGAAAGACAGGGGGTAGATAGATAGATAGATAGATAGATAGATAGATAGATAGATAGATAGATAGATAGATAGATAGATAGATAGATAGATAGATAGATAGATAGATAGACAGACTGTAGATAGATAGATGGATTTAAAAGAAAGAAAGAAAGGATTAGTGAGAAAGAAAGAAAGGATTAGTGAGAGAGAAAGAAAGAAAGGATTAGTTAGAAAGAAAGAAAGAAAGAAAGAAATATGGATAAAAAGAAAGAAAGAATTAGTTAGAAAAAAAGATGGATTTGAAAGAAAGAAAGAAAGAAAGAATTAGTGAGAAAGAAAGGATTAGTTAGTTAGAAAGAAAGATGGATTTGATAGATAGATAGATAGATAGATAGATAGATAGATAGATAGATAGATAGATAGATAGATAGATAGATGGATTATTAGAAAGAAAGAAAGAAAGAAAGAAAGAAAGAAAGAAAGAAAGAAAGAAAGAAAGAAAGAAGAAAGAAAGAAAGAAGGATTAGGTAGAAAGGAAGAAAGAAAGATGGATTAGGTAGAAAGAAAGATAGATAGATAGATAGATAGATAGATAGATAGATAGATTATTCAAAATAAAGAAAAAGAAAGAAAGAAAGAAAGAAAGAAAGAAAGAAAGAAAGAAAGAAAGAAAGAAAGAAAGAAAGAAAGATAAAAGAAAAAAAGAAAGAAAGATTAGTTAGAAAGAAATATGGATTTGAAAGAAAGAAAGAAAGGATTAGTAAGAAAGAAATATGAATTTGAAAGAAAGAAAGAAAGATAGATTGATTATTAGAAATAAAGAAAAAAGAAAGAAAGAAAGAAAAATAGATGATAGATAGATGAAAGAAAGAAAGAAAGCAATGATTAGTAAGAAAGAAATATGAATTTGAAAGAAAGAAAGAAAGAATTAGTTAGAAAGAAAGATGGATTTGAAAGGATGAAAAAAGAAAGAAATGATTAGTTAGAAATAAAGAAAGGATTAGTTAGAAAGAAAGAAGGAAAGATATATTGGTTAGAAAGAAAGACAGATAGTATAGTTAGAAAGAAAGAAAGATTATTTAGAAAGAAAGAAAGATAGATCAGTTAGAAAGATAGATAGTATAGCTAGAAAGAAAAGATTATTTAGAAAGAAAGATAGTATAGTTAGAAAGAAAGATAGATTATCTAGAATGAAAGAAAGATAGATTAGTTAGAAATATAGATGGATTAGATAGATAGATAGATAGATAGATAGATAGATAGATAGATAGATAGATAGATAGATAGATAGATAGATAGATAGATAGATAGATACATAGTCTATACATAGATAGATAGATCATTTGGACACAGAAAGTCAAATAGTTAAGACAGGCAGATGGATAGAAGAGGATAAAAGGAAGAGTAGAAAGGAGAAGAGATTAGGAAAGGAGGGTAGAATAGGAGGACCGGAGGAGTAGAGGATTGGAGGAGGAGAAGAGGAGGGAAGAGAGAGGGAGAACAGGAGAAGTAGAGGCATAAATGCAACAAAAACTTGTAGTATCCTTCAGAAAAGAGCTGAGTGACTGTCCACCAATCAGAACACAGGACCAATTATGTGCGTCTCCCTTTGATCTTTGCTAATCAGCATCACCTGTGCAATCAGCTTTCCTATTTAGACAGAGGCCAAAATTGCTGATACTTGGCCTCGAACAAACCTCAATAGAGACAAAACTGTAGGTTGTATTGGCGAAATGACCTGACCGTGAGCGAGACAAGGCCTTTGTGAACGATGTGATGTATTTTTTTTGTGGATAGAGTTAAAAAAAGGGACCACTTTGGCAAGTTAAAAAACTGGTTTGTATTGCTCTGATCACAAAAGTTTGACCTGAATTTATAATTGCTGTCAATGGAGGAATGTCTGTCACTCTTGTCCTTTGGAAGGACACAGTGAAAAAACTATAAGTCCCAGGGATTTACTAAACACATGAGAGGAACCACAACAAAAATACCTACGTTTCAAGTATAATTTTATGCCCAAAGAGTGAAAATTGTGGCCAGGCCAGCGATTTAAAAATTATTTTTTAGCATTAGGTTTCAAGCTGGCTCACTCTAGCACGTGCTCTAGCTCTGAACAGTCGCTCTCATTCACTCCCATTATAATTTCAGAAACGGGTTGAAAAACATCATGAGACTAAAGTAGAGATTGTGAAAAAAGTATAATAGATATCAAAAAGTTGAATACAACTTTAATAGCTTACAAATTTCTCAACATTTTAAAGTTTAAATGACAGAAATAGCTGAAAGTATGCAGAAGTTGTAGGCTTTGAAAGCAGAAGGAGCATAAAACAGAATTTGAAAAATTCTCCATTGACTTCCATGTTAAAAAATATGCACAAAAAGTTTAATAATTTAAAAAGTATAAAGGTTATAAACAAGAAAAGTAATAGCACACATGTCCTTGAAAAGCTGCACATTTTGATACTTGAATGGTTTTTGTAGCACAAAGTAGAGAGGAGAAGAAAGCGACCGAAAAACGTACGGAAGAATACGGAATAATAAGAAAGATTTGGATTTCAAGAGTGTGAATGCTTGAAGCATTCACACTAATAATAATAAGTTTAAATAGGATTTCAGTAAGTTGGCTTTCTCAAGCCAACTTAATAAATTGTATACAGAAAGCGATCAATATCTTTCCACACAGCGCGAGTTTATCTGGACACTTGCCAAACTTGTAATGAATTCAATGACGCACGTTACAATGCACAACGAAGCTCTTGCTGTATTTACATGATCGTGTCTGCATTAATGAAAGCAGAGAAGGCAGAAATTGCGTTGCAATGATAAGATCTTCATCCTCGCGATCGACAGCCTGTCTGTCCTCTGCTTGCTCAATACTCAACACAGCAACATTTTATGTGATGGGAATAGATCTAAATACTTCAAAAACATCTCACGATTCGTTAATCTCGATAGCTGTAATAGAAAAAAAAACTATAATAGCTGGAGTAAAATTATTCGAAACAGTTTCACATGTAATACTTGGCTATTTTATATGCAAGCATGTCAGCCAATCACAGCAGAGGCCGGTTACACACAGCAGACACGCCCCTTTAAACAGAGTGTTCAGATCAGAGGCTAAAATCAGGCTAGGGAAAATGCCTTTTATTTCTAAATTATGACTATTTTTGATCTAAAAAACATACTAACATTATAAGGGCAACCCAGGAAACATTATAAAATAATTTAAAAAAACATTTTAGGGCACCTTTAAAGGATTTTAGCTTAAAGCTTAAACGTGCTCAATCCACTTTATTTTGTGCACGAGCCTGTTAGTGTGTGTAAGGGAGCAAATAATGGGCTTACATTGTATGATTTGGGGTGTCTCTGTTTCCACTGAACCAGGACAAGTTGAGCAATGACGAGTGTGACAATGAGAATGAGAACCATCTCTGCATGCATTGCTTCATGCCCTTTGTGTTTGGCATGCATTTTAGCATGTTCCAACCTGCAAAACAGAAAAGAAAACCTTAAAATAAGCACACATTTATAAACAATCAATTTCATAATCAGTTTTTTAAGATGCAATCTTTTAGCTGTTACTTGTTAATTTAGATTTGGCACAAGTAACTTATAGCAGTATCTTTCAACTGTTGTAACAAGGGGTGTGCGCGAATAGTTGAATATTCGATCTGTAATTATTCGAAAAAATGTATATACTATTCGAATTTTGCTACATGTTGCTTTGCTGGCTATAAATACAGTGAAATCCTAAACACGCAAACTAAAACTCAGTTACAAACTAAATGCCCTGGGTGGCTCTGTGGAGCTTCTTAACAAGTTGACTGCAAATGGATCAATATGTTGTGTGGAAACATTGTCAGGTGAAACTGGGTTATCATAAATATATCATGAAATCCCAACCAGTCAAATGAGGAAAGACAGCTGTCCATCACTTCATTCACTTCTTTAGGTAAGCGCAGCTGTACACTCAAGTGAGTTGAGAAACTAACTTATAGCAAAATGATCGAGACGTTTGTCAAGGGAGGCCTTTTTAAAAACAAAACACACAAAGCGCTGTAAGAAACTTTGCTTAGCACACCGTTATACGTGTCCCTGCAACGTCTGTCAGTGAAGAGCATTTTCCCTGCACCCACACATATTGTTTTCCGACTGAGGAGCATGTGAATAATCTTTTTTGATTATGAACGTGCATGTCACGTATGAGAAAGAGGACCCAAAAGCAAAGGACAGTCAATGAGTGATTTAATGTTCAGAAGAGTAACACAGGAGCCGTAAGGCGAGTAAATCCAACAAAGGAATCTCAATGGTAATGGAACAGAAAGTCTCTTTATAACAGAACAGAAAACTGCCGTCTAGATCAGCACGGACGGACACTCAGAGGGCGAGACAGGCTGGGTCCGTAGAGGCACGGGAACGCCAATCCTGAACCACTCACGATGCTGGAAGTGTAGCAGAGTAGAGTCGAGGTAATACAGAGAACAGAACAGCTTGAATCAGACAGGACACGACACGACAGGATCAGGTGCGATATGCACAGGTACGTAACATAGAGCAATAATCTGACAAAGAACAATAAGAGAGAAGCCATGAAATAGAGTGTCTAATCAGAGATAGTAAGAAACAGTTGGGAAGGTAACGGGCAGGTAATGAGAGGATGAGCCACAGCTGGAGGTGACCGGGATAATGAATGAGTGATGCAAGTACTGTAATGTAAGATAGTGACCAGAAGGGGGCAGAGAAGGAACAGAGAAAGAAAGAAAGAGCCAGGATCATGACAGTACCCTCCCCTCAAGGAGCGCCTCCTGGCGCAACAGAAGAGGACTGGCGTGAGCGATAGAAGTCATCAATCAGCGAGCGGTCCAGGACGTCCCTCCCAATCGACCAGAAATTGATGACCACGACCCCGGGGGCGAACATCGAGAAGTCTGCGAACCCTATAGACGGGAGCGCCCTCGACGCGGACAGGAGGAGTGACAGGCCGAGGGGGGGCACGAATGACGGGTTTAATACATGACACGTGAAAGACCGGGTGGACGCGCCGAAGATTGGCAGACAACTTGAGACGAACAGAGACAGGACTGAGTATCTTAAGAATACGGAAAGGCCCGATGAATTTGGGGGCCAGCTTGCGAGACGTGGACTGGAGAGGCAGATTAAGGGTAGATAACCAAACTCTCTGACCCACAGAATAACGGGGACTCTTGACCCGACGTCTATTAGCGGCCCGCCGGGTACGAGAACGAGACTTAACTAAAGCGGACCTAACCTCTCTCCAAGTACGCTTAGCACGTTGAATGAAGGCTTGAACCTTCACCTTAGATTCAGTCTCCTGAGACGAAAAGAGTGGAGGCTGGTATCCGAGACAGCATTGAAACGGAGATAAACCCGTGGCAGAGGATGGAGCGGAATTGAGAGCGTATTCTGCCCAGGAAAGCTGTTCTGACCACGAAACCGGATTGCGAAAGGCGAGACTACGAAGGATGCGACCGATGGTCTGGTTTGCACGTTCCGCTTGACCGTTAGTTTGTGGGTGAAACCCGGAGGAGAGACTGGCCGACGCACCAATAAGACGGCAAAATTCTTTCCAAAACAAGGAAGAGAATTGGGGACCCCTATCAGATACGACGTCAGAGGGAAGACCGTGGATCTTAAAAACCTGGTCGACGATAATCTGGGCCGTCTCCCTAGCAGATGGGAGCTTGGGTAACGGAATAAAGCGAGCGGTCTTAGAAAAGCGATCAACGACGGTCAGTATCACGGTGTTCCGGAGGGGGGAAGACCCGTGATAAAATCCAAAGCAATATGTGACCAAGGACGGGACGGTAACGGGAGAGGACGCAGTAGCCCGGCCGGAGGCGAATTACCCGACTTAGTCTGGGCGCATACCGTACACAAAGCGACAAAACGACGGACGTCGCGCTCACGAGAGGGCCACCAGAATCTTTGACGGATGGCGGCGATGGTGCCCTTAACGCCGGGATGGGCAAATAATTTGGATGAGTGACCCCATTGAAGAACAGCGAGGCGAGCGGACGGAGGAACGAACAGAAGACCCCTGGGACAAAGACGAGGGGTAATAGCGTGGGCTAAAGAGCGCTTGACCAAACGTTCTATTCCCCAGACAGCTGCCCCCACCACCACGCCCTTAGGGAGGATCTCCTCCTTAATGGGAATAACCTCTGGGGAAGTAAACTGTCGCGAGAGAGCGTCTGGCTTGAGGTTCTTGGACCCGGGACGATAGGAGATGGAGAAATTGAAACGCGTAAAGAATAGCGCCCAACGAGCCTGGCGCGCGCATAGTCTCTTAGCGGAGCGGATATACTCAAGATTCCTGTGATCTGTCCAGACCACGAACGGGACCACTGAACCCTCTAGCCAGTGGCGCCACTCTCCGAGAGCTAGACGAATGGCTAATAACTCGCGGTTACCAACATCATAATTACGTTCGGCGGGCGAAAGGCGATGTGAAAAGTAAGCGCAGGGATGAACCTTCTCGTCAGAAGATGAGCGCTGGGAGAGAATAGCCCCAACGCCCACCTCTGAGGCATCAACCTCAACAATGAACTGTCTAGAGACATCAGGAGTACGCAAAATAGGGGCAGAGGAAAAAAGAGACTTGAGACGATCAAAAGCGGTCTGAGCCTCCTGCGTCCAGGAAAATTGGACCCTGGCGGACGTGAGGGCTGAGAGCGGGGCGGCAATCTGGCTAAAGTTGCGGATAAAGCGACGATAAAAATTCGCAAAACCTAAGAACCGTTGCAGAGCAACACGCGATTCCGGCACGGGCCAATCCGTGACCGCACGGACCTTCGAGGAATCCATGCTTACTCCCTCCGCGGAAATAATTGACCCCAGAAAAGAGATGGACTGAACGTGGAAAGTGCACTTTTCGGCCTTAACAAACAATCGGTTCTCGAAAAGACGCTGGAGGACCTGTCTCACGTGCTGAGTGTGGACTTGGAGAGAGGGAGAGAAGATCAAAATATCGTCAAGATAAACGAAAACGAAAATATTCAGCATGTCTCTGAGCACGTCATTTATTAGCGCCTGGAACACGGCTGGAGCGGTGACCAATCCGAAAGGAAGAACGCGATATTCGAAGTGCCCAAGGGGCGTATTAAACGCGGTCTTCCATTCGTCTCCCCTCCTAATGCAGACAAGGTGGTAAGCGTTACCAAGATCTAGCTTTGAAAAGATCTTAGCTCCCTGCAAGATCTCGAAAGCTGAAGACATAAGTGGCAAGGGGTAACGATTCTTGACCGTTATGTCATTCAAACCTCGATAATCTATGCAGGGTCGCAACGATCCATCCTTCTTCTTAACGAAGAAAAAACCCGCACCAGCAGGGGAGGAGGATGGAACAATGGTACCCGCCTCGAGCGAGTCAGACAAATACTTTTCTAGGGCTTCGCGTTCGGGCACGGAGAGCGAATAGAGCCTCCCACGGGGAGGGGCGGTGCCAGGCAAGAGATCGATGGCACAATCATACGGCCGGTGAGGAGGAAGAGAGGTGGCCCTGGAACGACTAAAGACCGCTCGAAGATCATGGTACTCCCGGGGAACTCCAGCCAAATCTCCCGGCTCCTCCTGAAAAACAGAGACAGAAGAGACAGGAGGAACAGCAGACACCAAACACTTAACATGACACGACAAATTCCAAGACAAAATTGAACCTCTGGCCCAGTTAATCTGGGGATTATGTTCGACTAACCAGGGGTGTCCTAAAATTACTGGACTAGAAGGAGATTGCAAAACTAAAAAAGAAATTGTCTCTCGATGATTGCCTGAGATGGTGAGACTCACCGGGGCGGTGGCAAAGCGGGCTCTAGTGAGGATACTACCATCAAGTGCGTGGATGGAAGTGACGTCATCACGTTCTAGGAGGGTAATCCCCTGTCTTCTAGCCCAACCTTCATCCACGAAATTTCCCTCGGCTCCAGAATTGATCAAAACCTGACAAGAGGTGGAATACCCAGGCCAGCGGAGTAGTGCGGGAAAAGTAGTGCGCGTGCGTGTCGGAGGGTCCAGGACTGACGCGCTCACCAGTAACCCTCTCTCTACTGGTGAGCGTTGGCTTTTACTGGACACGAGGCGACACGGTGAGAAGCAGAAGCACAGTACATGCAGAGGTGAGCCATGATACGACGTTGACGTTCGGCTGCGGAGATCCGTAACCCTCCCAGCTGCATGGGCTCAGCGTCGGAGGCGGAAGATGGAGCCGATGAGGGAACCGGAGTAGTGAGTAGAGCTCTCTCCAGACCCCGGCTGCGACGGCGCATCTCAAAACGTCTCTCTACCCGAATGGCCAAGTCGATAAGAGGGTCCAGTCGAGTCGGTGTCTCCCGGGCAAGTATCTCGTCCTTAATGTCCGCATTGAGCCCCTCGAGAAAGCGGGCAACTAGGGCAGGCTCGTTCCAGTCGCAAGAAGCAGATAAAGTGCGAAACTCAATCGAGAAATCTGCTGCTGACCTTCTTCCTTGGCGC